TGTCTCTGTTTGACTAACTAGTCTCCGTCTGAAAATGTATTCCTCATTGGAGGGATATTATTCTCAATAAGTCCCCAGGATAATTATTTTTCAGGAATATATTTGTCAGCCGTTGCAGCTCTTTAGTCAAATGTTTGCTATCCGCTAATCCCATACTTCTAAGAATCATTGATTTCACGGGTTTCCTTATTAATTTATTTTTAAACAAGAGAAATAAAGTAACAATATGAGTTATGAAGACTATGATAATAAGGAGTCTGCGTCTAGCAGATGCAAACCATAGGGGCCAGGAGATTGTTAGATTGAACGTATTAATATCATTTTCAACGGCATAAGTAGCATTATGTAATATGCTTTTTAGTGAACTTTTGTTGTAAAAGTGAATTTTATTTAATTAAATTCAACTAGAAATGATAACATGATTCAAATAATTATATTTATAAATTCAGTATAAAAGTAGCTTCATAAAAGATAGTTAAGACAAACTTTCATATTTTCATATGACAATATTTTCAAAGTTATCTAAGCCATGATTTGCATTAAGTTTTATGTTGATTAAAGGTTTTAAGTTTTGTTTTAGCATTTTAAATGCATTGAACTTTGACGGTTGTTCAAATTGCTTTTCGCAGTCCATAGGGCGATGTCAGTCGTCCCTGATGCGGTGACGGAGAATTCAAATAGAAAAGGTTAGTACTGGATCTTGATTTTTTACTTTTCTTATGATGTTTACTCTGATATTCATTGATATTTATTTATTTTATTGTTTTTTTCCTTTTTTACATTGTTTTTTATATAACACAGGCCAACCTTATCCTATGCAGCTAAAATGGCATTTTAACCAAGTAAAGGGATCAGCAGATGAAGAGATTAACGAAGGTATATGCCTCATCTTAACTTCATTTTCAAGCTGATATCATATCGTGTGTTGAATTCAATGATACTGGCGAACTCTTGGCAACCGGTGATCGGGGTGGGCGAGTCGTCATCTTTAAAAGGGAAAGAGACGTATGTACCTATCTAAAGATTATTTTCAGAGTAAAAGAAAGCATAAGTTTCCCAACTACAGTGTCTTTTGTACATTTACAAGTCATGAAGCTGAGTTCGACTATTTAAAGTCGCTCGAAATCGAGGAGAAAATCAACAAGATCCGTTGGCTTCCTCAAACAAATCAAGCTCGCTTCCTTTTATCCACAAATGGTGATTAAATCAATCCCAACCACTATCTGCTTATTTTTTATAAATATTTTACAACTACTGTATATCTAAGTCTTTGTTCATTGCTTTTCAGTTAATGTAAGTATTTGTAGATGTTTAAAAACATTTGGCTGCTTACTCACACCAGAATGTTTTTTGCTACT